GTACGACATTCGCAGTTCCGCGCCCCTACGTCATCCTGATGACCCATCTTCCAGCCAGCTGACTCCGCCAGTACGCCCGAACCCATTTACCACGGTCCGTCACTACAGCCGTCGTCAAAGGCCGAGAGTGGACATACAGGATAGAGAGCCGTTACACCAAATTGATGAGTCAGAATAGGATAGAATTATCTGATTTATTTGCTGTAATGACCTTCTCTAGTTTGTTGTACATAACACTTACATTACATTATTATTTGAATAATTATTTGAATGAATTTATGTCTTGTTTGAATTTCAAATTCCTTATTTGTCCACGTTTGACTCATTTCGTTCAAAATAAATTGTGGATGTGGAGGTGGTGGATGTGGAGGAGGAGGGTGGTGGAGGTGTTGGAGGATGTGGAGGAGGAGGGTGATGGTGGTGGTGGATGTGGAGGAGGAGGGTGGTGGTGGTGGATGTGGAGGAGGAGGGTGGTGGAGGATGTGGAGGAGGAGGGTGGTGGTGTTGGTGGATGTGGAGAGGGTGGTGGATGTGGAAGGGGGCTGCACTGGCTGCTGTTGGGGGCCTGCTGTTGCTGCTTTCAGCCAGCAGATAAAACGCTGCCTCAGTCAGCGTTTTATGCTTAGGTTTAAAACGCTGACTCAGTCAGCATTTTTCTCTGTTATGGATACAAGAAAAACGCTGACTGAGTCAGCGTTTTACTGTATTTCCATTTTTTTTAAATTTGTATTTCACATAATACGAAATTTTATAAAAAAAAAAAATAACCAAAGGTAAAACGCTGACCGAGGCAGCGTTTTATGTCAGAAGCTTAGTTTCGTAAATAGTTTGGCCACGCGTCTAGATTGGTAAATTGTTTGCCAATTAAGCTTACTTTCGTAAAAAATCCAAATTTAATGTTTCGGATTTGCACAGAATTTGACAACCCCTTTAATTTTTAAACTAGATAAACCCCGTGCAATGCACGATTTGTTTGTATTTTTTCAAATAAAATATTTTGATAATATATATTTATCTAATAAACTTTGTGATATTCGCTTGCTTACTACTTGATTTTTTTATATTATAAAATGAATTATTAATTTTCATTCTCATATTTAGATAGAATTCGTAATATAAAAAGATAATATTTTATTTCACAAAGTATCATATATAGCTGGTCACACTGTGTGGCGGATTGCTTGGTCAGGAGTTACTTGATTGGTCAAGGGTTACTCAATCGATTAGGGGTTACTTAGACGGTCAGGGGTTACTCGATCAGTGTTTGGGTATGTCTCAGCCGGCCACACGATATGACCAGCCACACAATACGTATATCCAACCACACAAAAAACGCGCTGATTTTATTTTTATAATTAATATAAATTTTTTGATCTAAAATCAATTGCAATTCTTTTTATATTGGCTAAAATATAACATATTCTTATGTGACGCTCTAAAATTAATCTTACATGACATAATCCTATTGTAGCGTTTTAAAATTATTAATCCTACGTGACGATTTAAAAACTTCCCTTTATATATATATTAGATTACTATAGACTTCGTTATTAGTACCATTAATCAATTAATTAAGTACAGTAATTAAGTGGTCCTGCTCCTGCCCTTGCCCTATGCAAACACAAACAACCCCACTCCCAAAAACAAAAGTATGGTCCTACGTTCTAAGTATAAATTAATTTTTATTAAGCCTACATAATCACATCCCCACTTCACTAGAAAATTGAAAGATATCAACAACTTTATGTGGAGATTGTTTATTGGGATTAGCGCATTTAGATCTTATTTGACCAAAACAACAATATCAACAACTTCATCTTTGAGATAGAACTATAGAAGGGATATAATTACCGTGTTTGAAGTTTCATCTCTAAGTGTTCTTTCTGTTTTAAATCGCTTTTTTGAGATAAAAATTGCTTAAATATGAATAACTTATAGAGACAAAGGAAATACAATATTATGGATATATATATGTACTATGATCGCTTCAACCCAAATATACACAATCTTGAGGGACAACAAGCAACTTAAGTGAATCGATCTCATTATTGTCTCTAGATTAAATTGTGTTTAAAGTTGGCAAAAACAACATTGAAGAGTTATTATGTGTGACAAGCTACTCAACCAATGGATTTTCACTGTCAAATAAGTTATAGCGAAATCAAATAAGTTCAGATAAGTTTTAGTTTTACAAAGTAAGAAATAAGTTTAGATACACTCAGAATAAGTTATGATAAATTGAGTATAAATTCCGACAAAATAAGTCGAATATATCAGTGATTACTGTTTGGGTCCAATTTAGTCAAAATTGGGCCTAAGCACTAAATGATCCAATTAAAAGCCCAAGGTCAAGGTTCAACTCTCCAATTGCTCAAAAGTCAAAGGTCAGCCCACAAAGTAAGCCAATTGGGCTAAAGCCCAACCTCTCCATGTATGATGAGGTATAAAAGCCATCATATTGACACATTCAAGGGGGGAGAGATTCACATTCCAATTCATATGCTCATTCTTGCATTCAGAAATATTCCACAAAAGCCTCAAGCTACAAACTCTCTTGCATAGTGTCTTCTTTTTACACATTGAACTGACTTTAGCATCGGAGGGGCCTTCCTCGGAAACACCCCCGAGGCTAGTTTACGTGTGTTCACTGTGCAGGAAACCTTCGGCCCAACACAACTTGGACCGAATCCAGTCTTCTCCATTTCAGCGGACCTTCGGCAAGGTCCCATTGTTTTCAACCGAAACAATTACAATCAATTTTAACTCACGTATGTACCCTGCGGTAGATACTAGATAGGGAAATATATGGGTGGATTTACATGCGCATGCACCGTCATGAATGAGCAATGTCATTTAAGAGGAGAGATGTGTGATAAATGAGTAACCAGTAAGTAGGTTCATCAATCATGGAAAACAATCAAAGACATGCACCAATTTTTGGAGTCTCAAAATTGAAAACAATAATCATAAAAACTGATGCTGCTTTTACACTTACTCATTTTGTATACGTCCTCTCCCAATAAGCCAAATCCTTTTTCAGTTTTGACTTGATTTTTTTTTTTTGATAAATTCCAAAATCATACAACTAATATTGTACGAAAGACGAATTCTAAGCCGAAATAAGAAAAACCAATGAATTGGATGCTAAAATACAAATTTTCTGGGCATGTGTCATAATAACACCCACCTAACAAATGATTCAATAATGAAAATTACCCCCACTTTATTTATTCGCCTCCTTTTAAGTAGAGGCAGCGCAATTGTAAATTGCGGTAAATGATATGGAGTACTCATAATTTTGTGATCTTTACTATTCCCTTTTGTATTCGAGTGCATCAATTTGATTGACAATGTCTATTTTCATTAAAATCTTCCTTTTCAACACTAGTTAAACCTAAATTATAACATATTCAGAAATTATTCTTGAACTCTTTAGTATTTTGTACTCCGTAAGGCAGCAACATGCCTACATGCTTGCGCATATACAAACTAGACATTGGTTGCCCGTTTGGTCATTGACGCGTCAAAGTCCCGTACATAAAGCCTAGAATAATTTGCACATAACACAAGATGAAGGTTCAAACCATGACACTGCTAAAACAAAGAAAAGGACTTTGTCAAGAAGAATAAGAAGAATTCTGATCAAAGAATTCCTTCAACTTTCTCTTTTATCAACCTTTTTGACTCAAAAAATTGGACTACCACTCACTATTCGATTACATTACTACTTCACTAGTTAACAAAACTGAACTTATTATGAACTATGATAGTGTTTGTGTTGGCTTCCTTCAATTCTTTCAATATTAGATCATTATCAAATGCAAAGCTTTTGGAGATCCCAAGGTTGCTTTTTATGCCTTTGTTATTCACATTACTACTTCATTATACCACATATTTTCTCTTTTCTGTTCTTTTTGCTTTCACATTTTCTCATATAATCTTATTTTTGGATTTCAAACCATATGAAAAGGATAAAAAGGGTGAAAAAAAATTGGAGGAAAAATATCTATACTAAAAGAACTTTAGGTGTAAAGATTATTTGTCCTTCACATTTTTTCTTTTTCAGTTTTTGTTGTTAGATTATTGTCGATTTATAATGATGTTGTGGATGGATGAGTGAAATGTTATATTCATGCTATTTCTTTTTGGTAATGTTTCCCCTTTTGCCATGTGAAGCTAAGCTTTCACTTTCATTGTTTAAAGTACGTACATAAATTTAAATGCATATATATACTCATCAATAGCGTTCTAATATTAATCCTACATACCGATCTTTTGACCAATTAGTTGTTGGTGTAGTGGTGATGGAGACTACACTTGGTAGGGAAGACCGCGTGTTCGATCCCCCGCAACAACAATTGGGAGGGGACTGAAACTTAACCACCCAGAACTGATTCCCGAATCCAAATTAGCCTAAAGGGTGAATCGGGTGGAACAACAAAAAAAAAAAAAACATATCGAGCTTTTGATTTATTGTATTTGCATGTTGTTAATCAAGGTTGATCGAGGGCATGTTATGCTCGTGTTAGATCAATATTGGAATCTCAAGTTTAGCTACCTACTGTTAAATATCTTTAACACGAGTATGTATTCATAAAATTTATAAAATTTACATACTAGTATTTGAAAAGTACATATTTAAAATGCAATCTAACAAAATTCAATTCAAATCATTTAATAATGTTTTTTCTTCTTCTTATAGATTAGAGTAAAAATGTGGTCAAAATTTAGTCATATTAGCGAATTAGATCAGACTAGCAAAATTCATATTAATCCAGACGAGATTTTATTAAAATTAAACCAGATTACCTTATTTCGGGTGAAGAAAACAAGTCTTGAATCAAAATGAGATAGCCTTGATCAAATGCAGCCCGACCCAAAAAGTGTCGGTTTTGGGCCTACTTTGGCCAAGCCTGAAATAGCAGGTTTGGGTACGGTTTTTTAGCCCATACCACACTTGGGCCCCGGCCTGAAGACCTGGACCCTTTACATTTTTCATTAAACCGCTCCCAACCAAACAGGGGATCTTCAATTCTTCATTCTTGTTTTCTTCCTTTCTATAGACCGTTCACCGTCAAATCGGCGAATCGACGCCGCTAGAACAACCTTCGACCACCGTACAATGGCTGCTTGAATCTACACAGAATTCCAGGTAGAACAGTATCACAAATCTCTCATATTATCTAATAATATATGCTAATTTTTCGAATTTTTTCTTATTCTTCACTTATTAAAGCCTGTTAATTACCCAAGGTTAATTTGTGTTCTACCAGTTTCGTGATCGCTAATTTTGTAAGTTTTCGTTAAATCTTCGAACCCTAGATTTGAATTCATATTGATAAGCTGTAAGAATTTCGATTGAATTTCATCTCTTGAGCTCAGTTTTTTGATCTCAATAAGTGAAATTCTCTGCATAAAAATGCCTTTTTTATTCATTTTTTTTTTTTGTTCAATTTAGGGTTTGATTTTCGATTTCGCTGATTATTTGATTGATTTCATTAATGTTCGAACTCACCGGCTTGTTTTTCTTCTGCTCATGTATTTGAATTTCGGGTCCAATTTATTGTTTCATTCTTTTGATCAGTCATCAGTTATCGATATAAGCCTATAGTTTTCATTTGTTGATTTTTGTTATAAAGTATTTATTATGATTCACAAATGGAATTGGTAGACCTTTGAACATTATATATTTTGGTGTAACCTCTTTATCTGACTTCCTCCATTAACGAACCTTCATCTTTCTCAATTGTACAGTAATATTTTCAACATTTCCTACCTTTTAAATTATTATTATTATTATTATTATTATTATTATTATTATTATTATTATTATTATTATTATTATTATTATTATTATTAATTGAGAGAATATGCTCATAATTACTGTTACGAGTAATCACAATATCAAATATTACGTAGTAAAGACCCATTGACAACCCACATTGCATTTGCACATTGCCCTGACCCGACCCTTACCCACATCGGTCCTGTACTGACCTGCAATGACCCGCTCAATAACGGAATAACCAGATCTACTCCAAAGTCCGAACTCACATGGGTCAATTCCTGGATTCGCTATTGTATTTGAAAGTTAGTCTTCTTAATGCTGCATATGAGGTTCTTGAGCTACATAGCCTTATATACATCTTTTTTATCTCCTGAAGTTTAATGAGTGAACCTGTATGTGAACAGCTGTGAAGTTTGGAAGTGTGTACGTTGTGCAAATGGAAAGTGCCAATGACAGTAAGATTTCTAAGAGAACAGTTTTTGTCACCGTTGGAACTACTCTATTTGATGCTCTTGTCAAAGCAGTGGACACTCCTGAAGTCAAGCAAGAATTATATGCAAAAGGGTATACACACCTCCTGATTCAAATCGGCCGTGGATCTTACATCCCTGCCAGGGTATTTTGAATTTTGGCCTTGTTGCCACCCGAACTTGTGTGTGATGTTTTAGAGCATTGCGTCATTCTTTATGGCTAGTTAAATTCTTCTTTAGGTTGTTTCTCATTGGAGCTTGCATTAATAAACTGCCTGTCGAGTATCAAAGATGATTTCCATCAATAGCAACCGGTGGTGTGAAAGTGCTTAACATCTAATTTATGAAACTTTTAAAATAAAGTAATTGCCTGTTGCGCATCATATTTGACTCGGTACTGGGGTTTTGCCATTGTATGTTAGGCTCTTTATCGTAGATAAGGATACACAAGTAAATGTAACCATAATATATCTGAGAATTTATGTTGACAAAAATAAACAGAGAATCTTGTTTTGGGGCTAGGTCCGGTCTTCATTAGGGCATTGCGAAATTGTTTTTTAAGTTAATTATCAAAGTTTCAATGGCATCAGTCATACTACTGCTTGAACTCTTTACTTGATGTAGGGTCTGACTTTTGTTTTTCTCTGATTCACATGAAGTCAACTGGTGACGATAGGTCCCTAGCCGTTGAGTACTTCACGTTTTCCTCTAGCATTGCAGAGAGCCTGTCATCAGCTTCTCTTGTCATAAGTCACGCAGGTATTTGTACATTTTTTTTAAAAAATTTGGTGCTAGATTTCTCTGATAGTCATTATATTCTAGGCCTGAAGTAGAGTATGAATCATGAAGTTTCTGAGCAATAATTATTATCAAAACTTGAGAGATTTGGTTTGCTAAAAGTATATTCTAGGAGACTCTCTACCAGTGACAGTTTGATCAAAAAAAAGTTGTTGAACATCTAATATGTTGGGATTGTGTTTTTGGGTCATCTCATTTTAAAAGGTATAGCTTTAAGCCTTTAACAGATCCTTGAAGTTGCATGGATCTCGCAGCAATTTTTGTATCCCTTTAGACATCTGATGCTGGTCATATTTTTTGTGAATTTTTCCTATGATACCATATTCTGATCAATGGTTTCTACTATTTCCCTGCCTTATGGTGGCCAATTATGTAATTGCATTTGAGTTTGTTTTGTATTTTTCCTCATGACTACTTGTTTATGTAATACTCTTAACTAATAAGCTGTGTTGGGAAGAGCAAGTCAAGTTCTGGCTTGGCTTTGGCTTTGGCTTCACATGAATTATCATACCAATGATGTACAAAATTTTCCATGCTTGATTTTCCCCTTCTTAATTCGAACAACGTTGTTTGATTTCTTTTCGTCTTATGATGACTGAAATATGAATAAGGTGCTTGCTAAATCATGTTTAACTTCATTTTTCATGTGCTTACTTTTCTGTGGGCCGTGGTATTTTCACTTCAAAATTAGTTGCTTGGTCTGCTGATTGAACTTTGTTCCTGAGTAATTTTATCAATTGATAAACCCTCACACTATGTATTCTGTTGTAGCATGCCGTGGTACTTAGTTTTATGCAACATTGCACTTAGCCGGTTAAAATTGTAAAGAGACTGTTGAATTTCCTTGAATATTTATGTGCTGGAACAAAGTAGTGAGAATTTATGAGACTAATTTTCGTATGTGAAAGACACCTTACCTGTCATGGCTATCAAATTAACAAAAGCCTCTGAGAGATGATGTATGTTGGTTCAGCATAGCATGATCTACTTGAGGACATAATATGACCAAGCTGATACAAATATTACTGGATGTCTTACAGGATCAGGCAGCATTTTTGAGACATTACGGCAGCATAAGCCTTTAATTGTCGTGGTGAATGAGGATTTGATGGATAATCATCAAGAAGAGTTGGCAGAAGAATTAGCAGAGAGGAGACACTTGTTCTGTGCGCACCCTCAAACCCTTTACCAAACCATTGCTAGTATGAATCTAGATTCTCTTCTTCCATATCCTGCTGGTGATGCTAAACCGGTTGCAATGCTTATAAACAAGTTTTTAGGTTTCCCTGTAGATTAACCAAAACACACTACATGATCCTTCAACTATTATAAATACATCTGTGCTAATTCAGACTGATATTTTTTAATTCTGTTAACAGTACTTGTGTATCGCTTTCTTCTCATACTTACGATGCTATTTTTGTCAAGTAATTTAGTTATAGGTGATGATATACCATTTAGTCATAACCTATTCCAAGTGGAGTGATAAGTATTTTTTTGAAATGGAAAATATTAGCTGCTCTAATGAAGTGTTTGATTAGTGGTATGAGGTATGACCAAAACATCTTTAAGCCTGGTTTTGCAGAAAATTTTTGTCCTGAACTGTGGTCCAGTTCATTTTGCTTCGGACTTTCTTTTGGAGTTTTGCCTGGCCTTAATTGCTGAATTTGTAAGCCATTTATGCTGATGGCCTACTTGGACTGGCATGATCATTGCTGGTCTCGGCTGAAATTTCCAGCCGATAACTGTGGTTCGACCTGATCCCTGGAATATTTTGGTGATTGCATATTCTAGGCCTTCTCATGATCAGCTTTAGGCTACTAATATAGTACTCTGTAATATCTTGTAGTGACATACTCCGTAACGTTGTAATCTACTAATGCATTGTAGAAAAGGGGATTTTATTATATGGTAGTTTTCGACTGCCACAGCTGAATGGCTTAGCTCAATCAGCTCCTAACACTAATCAAATATCAGACTTATTGTGTCTTGTTCATAATTGACTGAACAAAGAGCTTCCTTTCAGCCTAGGTTGTTGACCTCAGAGATCCCTTTACAAGGTAAACCTATTGTTTTGCAGATCATTCCACAAGGTAGAAGGCAGGACCGCAGGAGTCGTCATCCATACAATACCAGTGTCATTTAGGTTCAGACAGGGGAGTGACTAGGATGGGGAAGAATTATCCCGATAGAGATAATCTTAGCCAAGCAAATAAGTACATACAAGGATAAACTTTTTTCTAATATGTCGCTAAACTATTTCTTTCAAATCTTATATGATCAAAACACTATGGGATGTCGTTTAGCCAACATATGAGTATCACATGTAAGTTGAAAGACCGATAATTAAGAAACTTGTTGCCTTATTTTTTGTGGAAATGAGAGTTTAGCCTGCTGTTCTTCAGTGATTTAAGCATAATAATGCGCCAATATTGATGGAAGTTAGCGAATTTGGTATCACATGCACCGTGTTTTTTAGCTTATGCCGTCGCCATCCGAGATATGGTAGATAAGGGTTGTATATGGAAGAGACAAAATCAGGCACCAAGGCTACAGCAATGCTTGACCACAAGCTCATTTGGGTTGCAAAGGTATCACTAGACTTACATTTAAAGCATCTTCTTTAACTGTCCAGTTTATGCTTGGATTTATATGTATTGAATATAAATTATGGTACGAGTACTTTCTTTGATTTTTCTTTGTTCTTGAGAGTACTCTAGGAATTTCCCATCATTCTACTATTGATATTAAACACATGTTTTTAAGACAAAACCAAGTTTAATTATGAAGCCCAAATTATTTTTCACATTACGAGTGCATTTTTTTTAATTGTCATATCAAGCAGAATTGTTCACGGGTATAAGCTTCATACAATCATGCTTTGTTCCTAAGTAAGACCAAATGTTATGCTACTATTGTAGGTTGGAAGCACCTGATAAGTTAAACTCAAATTTGTCACACTTTATTAAATAAGATATCTATGCTAACAGTAGTTGCGGACCCAGTTGTAATTGTTTCACGGCAATTCTACAATTTTATGCTTTCAAAGTTTAAAAACATATTTTTGTTTCATATATCAAGTTCACAAAGTTTGTAAACAATTTTTGTTTTACATTACAAACGCTCCACAATGCTTTCTCACTTGTGCAATAGGCCAATAGCCCTTTCCCTCTTTTAAAGCACCATTTAATTTGAAGAACCTTTACTATTGTTTGAAAATGTGTATTTGCTTAATAGAGACTTACGATCTATAAACAATACATGACAGTGCGCTAGTATGGATATTTAACAGTGACTGTCTTGGTTTGAGAGTAGGTACATGTAGCTTCTATACATTTTTTTAACGTAAGGAGAAAGATCCCGATCAGACCTCAACCCTTATAGTTTTTTGATCCAATATTCGTGGTTCAAACATTTGCAAGTGATGGAGAATGATAAGGCCATAATGAGGGATCCGTAGTTCTTCGCTCACAAGTACCGCAGTTGGAAGGATTTGTCTTGTGACCTCAATGTTATAAGATTAATCCCTAAGCAACTACACCAAATAAGTTTGGTATATCTAGCTCTAGCTCGTAGATGCATGTGGCCGCTTTCAACATCGTTATTCCGAATAAGTATCTGTATAAGATCCCATATACTTATCACTGTGCCATCATTACCTTGAGTCCTGATATGTATTGATGATATGAGTAACAATCTCATTAATGCAATAGAATTGCCTTCCTTGTTCCTTCTCCGTCTTATAATTCCTATTGAACAACCGTCAACACCCTTGCTACTACTACCTTTTTTGAGCCTGAATAGTGTGAATTTAATCATCATTTTATCCATATGTTAACTTCTTTTTGTAAAATTACCGTCAAATATGTTAAAAAGATCAAATTCATAGCTCATCAGGTCAGATTAAATGCAATAGTGCACTACTAACCATAAGTCCATAATCGATTAGGGAACTAGCTTTATATGTATTCTTCTTATATTAGTTTTTTATTAAAATTTTAATTTATTTATTTTAATCTTTTATTTAGACTAATGTACATTTTTTCAAAATGTGTGTGTATGTTATTTTTTTTTTTTGAATTACATTGCCAAACCATGCATAATTAAATACACACTAATGCTTTCAAAAAAAAAAAAAAAAAACAAAGTAATCCCTAAAACATTGACCAAGTAGCCCTTGCAATACTTATCGAGTAACCTTTATAACACTGACGAACTAACTCATGTAACATTAACAAAGCATCCCTTGATGAACATTGACCGAATAGTAACCCCCATGATGAATGACCACACGATGTAACAAGCGACATATATTACAAGAAAATTGATTTTGGGCAACGACAAAGATTTGTATGTGCAACGAGATTTAATTTCGTTGTCCTTATCTCATAGCTTGGGCAACAAATATTTATTTGTTGCCCATTACTACCATTGGGCGACGAAAAGATAGATTTGTTGCCCAAGTTAACATATAGGGCGACAAGCTATTAATGTTGTTGCCCAAAGGAAATTGCAGGCAACGGAGATTTATTTTGTTGCCCAAATTTTTATATTGTGCAACAATGGTTTAATACTCGTTGCCTTAATAGAGACCAAGGACAACAAATAGTTGAATTCGTTGCCCAAGAAACTGAAAAAAAGGCGGAATTTTTTTTGGTTTGGCTCACTAGTCACTAGTGAAATTTCGAATTTGAAACCACTGAAATTTTGTGAATATATAAGAAAAAATTAGTTGAAGTCCCAGACATCCCACATCTCCTTCTTTCCCACTAGAACCCTAACCCTGTTTCCTCATCTTTATCTCTCTCCTCCCTCTCCCTCTCCATGTTCATCTTAAATCTTATTGACGCGACGTGCAAGGAATTGAGGGAGTAATGGACGCCCACAAAATATCCAAGTCTCGTAGCCTCGACCACCACCTAGTCGAGTTCTCAATTGTGATGACCAAACCTTTCCCCAGATCAAGGCCTTAAATTTGGTTTGTTTCATCTTCTTTATATTATTTTAATTTATTAAAGTTCAGTGCTAATTAACGTCCTTTTGTTTTACTTTAATCCACGTTTTCTTAACTTTCATTATACAATGATGTTGGATTTTTTTTATTACAGGATGACTTATGCATTGAATTAATATACTTCGCAAATATCTACCCATCAATATATACTAGCAATTAGCAGGTAAATTAGTTCTCGCTCTCATATTCTCAATTGTATATCTTCATCTTGTAATTAAAAGTATTTTTAGTTTTAAATTTGTGCCTTTCAATTGATTAATTTTGACTTTATTCATGTGCAAATGTACTACGATATAGCCCATATAGAATATACTATTGAAAGGTTTATCTCTTTAGAACTGTTACCAGCACTTTTTTTTTTTTTTTGAGGAAACCAACATATTTATTTAAACATAAACATTTTCTACCTTCTAAATATACTACGTTCTAGCAAATTCCCATTGTATGAGTAATCTTCTACTTTTTGTAACCTTTTTCTTATAAACAATAGCCAAAACTTTGGTTATAAAATAAGTATACTATATTTCTTAACTAGTTATTCTTTTGATTTCGTAACTATCAACATGTTTTTGTTCTTAATTTTAATTTAATTCTGCTAATTATGTTTTATAGGTTGATGTTGATTGCATATGGACCATAAGAAAAACGTCATATCCCTTAAAAAAAAAATACCCTTCAAAACTTTCTAAATATAAGGAATTTAATGAGAAATTAAAAAGGCAGAGAGTTTGAAAGGAAAATGATGGGAATCTAAGGGATTTACAAGGGAAAATATAAATGGTATTTTTCTTCTTGTGTACTCGTACGTATAATTTTGGTTTTCTTCAAAACGTGAGATTAAATGGCTTAAAAATCAAAATGAAAAAATATTCAATTTTATATATTAATTACAGAATGTAAAAATTGTATAAATTTGAGTATAAATCATAAATAAATTGTCAAATTATATGTGAAAAATGCTAAAAGTCAACGTAGTGCTAGCTCTATTCCTCAATACTACTTCAAATGATTAACGATCAAGGACAAGGAATAGAGAGAAGATCGAAGATTTTTTTTTAGTTGTATTTTAGTTATCAGAATTGAGAATTTTTTAGCAGTGCAAATCTAAAATTACCAATGAGGAATATGAATTTACTATTTTGAATTATAGATAATTTGTTATTAATTACAGTACAATTCATATTTGTAAAATTTTAATTTTAATATGATATTTTGTAAGTAATTTTTTTCCACCTTGAAAGATATACATATAGGATTAGTATACTCATATTCAAGTTTTTATATAGATGGCGACGAATATGGACTTTGTTGGCCGAAATTTGACATTGGGTGACGAATCAAACAATTCCCAAAACCACAAGAAGTAGAGTGCTAAACGCTTAAGGCGACAAAAAATTAATATTTGTTGCACAAAACTGATTGGACAACAAAAATACTTGACGCCTTAAACAAATTTTGGGCAACGAAATATTAGCTTGTTGCATAAAATGGATCAACGGCAACGAAATATTTCGACGCCCAAATATGGTTATGGTCCGCGATAACACAATTCGTCACACAAAACAGAAAGGGTGCCCAAATATGGTTATGGGCCGCAATAACACAATTCGTCACACAAAACAGAAAGGGCGTCGACCCTTGTGCAACGACCCCACGACGAGTTCAACTTCGTTGCACAAATGTTTGGGCGACGAATATGGGTCTTTGGGCAACGAGTTCTTTTGTCGCCCAATCTACTTTTCCTTGTAGCGATATAAGAATCTGTGATCTTGAATATAATCCAAATAATATTTAATGTATTAGGCTCTCTTCCAACAAATTATATGAAGATTTCCATTTGCTTGGAAGAATAATACGGAGTAAGTATATATTATAGGGAATTTAATGATTTACTTAGGTAAGTAAGCTAATACATTACTCCGTAATACTTACATATGGTGATATTGAGTTTGCCTTTTTTAATTAATACGAGTATATACTAATACTAATGGCAACATTAAATTTAGTTGTTTTTTTTTCTTTATTAGATTTCAAATTCAAAATATTCTCATAAAAAATGTAACGACGGAAATTATAATTTATTATATCTATGTAATACTAAACACTACGCACTTTTTTCCTTTTATTAAAAAAAAATATGCACTTCACCATCTGAATTATTGCCTTAATGGGTAACAAAAATTCCCTTTCTTCATTTGCAAAATTATTTTAATGTCACGAATTACTTCAAATAAGAAAGAGTGATAATGATGGAAAGTAAGTATTAACAAATAACAAGCTAGTAATAATTTTATAAAATAAATGGCAAGCTATAATATATAATCATTCTATACAAATAAATAACAATGGTAAATAAAGATTGTATGTGGAAGAAAAAAATTTATGCTAAAATTGTCGCCACAATTAAAAGGAATATTTGATCACTTTAGCTATTTTTAAAGTACATACTTCTTCCAGTCTTTCAAATTTGTCATATTCAGAAAATACACTCGTATTTTAACCATATTTTGTAATCTATACATAAATAAAATTACGTTATTTATGTAAATAAATCGTAATGTGAAGTTAGGCAAGCTGGTCATATAAATAGAGTTGAATTCTTGTGAATTGAAACATATACAACCTTAACTCTCACATAAACAATACTCGTACACACTTAAGATTTAGCCCCAATCATCATGAGTCGTACGTATGAAGCAACATACAACGGGTCGAAAAAAAGGTTTTCATTTCCGAAATATTGTTTCATGGACAAAATGACTAGGGAAAAGAGGGAAGAACTTAGGGAACGTGGATCAACGGATATACAAGTGAATGACACAGAAACAGGTTATGTAACTTATATGGTGTTACAATCTCAAGACTCAAGATCCCCTCTTCATGACTTATATCACATATATGTGGCTGATGATTATGTTCAGCATAGGCAACTTCAAGGTGGTACTAAGGCCGAGCTTACTTTCTTGTATGATAAGATCAACATTCATATTACCTATAGAGTTTTTTTTAGTTAAATGCTTCTGCTAGTAATAAGTTTCTTATAAATTTTTTTGATTATGTTAGAATAAGTTATGAATTGTAATAAAGTTTTACATTTCATATCCAATATAGTATTGAAGCTTATGCTTTTTTATCTAATGTTTGGTTAATAAAACTTTGGTATAAGGTATGATCAATTTAGAATGGCTAAAACGGCCTTATACCTTTACTCGTATATTGTTGTTTTAAAGATAACCAATTTTACAGTACTACTACATGATTATATTCTTTTTAGGTATATTTAATGGCATTAGTTGTTCAATGGATCTCTTTTTCATATTGGTCCCTGCCAACGATTGGTCCCATAAAACACCGTCACAAAATTAAGTTGAAGATTGAACAACCAAATACTGCAATACGAAATGAGAATAAAGGTTGGCCTATTGGTTGGAGGTCCTCCTTCCACCCTTGTAAGAGGGGTTCGATTTCCACCCCAAGCAAGTGAAGTGAGATCCCTAATCCTTAGTTGTAAGGGAATTCTCCTTACCTTCAAAAAAACTGTAACACGTAGTATTTTGAAAGCCTAAATAAACACAATTTAACAAATTAAGAAAATTCATATGCTTTCAATTATGAAGATACATTGTGACTATGTTAAAAGAAAAGTCCTTGTGTTTTAATAAAGGTCATAAGAAGTTAGTTTTTTAAATGAAAATTTTAAAATATTGGTCAATATGAATAATAAAGGTCATTAATGTGTTAAAATTAGGGTTATGTTCAAAATAACGTCGTAGTTTAGGTTCGCAATAATATTAAAGGTCATACAAAATTTAATAAAGGTTACCACCTTAAAATTAAGGTTTTTACATTTAATATTAGGGTGATCACTATGTTCAATATAAGGTCAGTGGCGCACGTATGGACCTATGCAACTGACGTTATATTGAACATAGTGACTCTAATTTTATCATACTAACCTTATTTTTTAACATAGTAACCTTTATTTAAACTTGTGTGACATTTAATACTATTATGAACATGAAGTACGACGTTATGTTGAACATAGTGACCTTAATTTTAACATAGTGCCCTTTATTATTCATATTGACTAGTATATAAAAAATTTCATTAAAAAAAAATTAACCCTTATAGCCTTTATAATACCAAAATGACTTATTTCAACATAATAACCTTTTTTTAATTAATAAATCCACTATAGTGTCTCTAATGTTAGTGATCCACAATAAATTAGTGTAAACCAGGTCCATTTAAGAGTTTGTATGTATATGATGTTGCTGTCCACATTACATGCATTGTTTACCATTAAATATGTGAAACATTATTTAAGGTCAAACCTAACACAAATTATAACTTTTTTTTTCCTTTTTTTTTTTTTACCAGTTTATTGTGACATAGAGAGTATTTTAAGAGTACTATAATTATGAGTTAATCATGACACGACACAATTTAAGAGTTTTTATACATTATAACAAAATTGTTCGACAAATGACACTTGAACTAGACTTGATATAAATAAACCATTTACCACTTGCAGTTTCGCAAATCGCGGGCAAAGAAATTAGACCAGAATATGTCTCTCAGTCTCTTCCTTGTCAAAGACAAAGACTATTCCAAAGCCAAATAACAAAAGAACAGCCAAACTAAAACCAACTTCAATAAATCAAATAACCCTCTTTTTTTTTTTTTTTTTTTTTTTTTTTTTTTTTTTTTTTTTGGCTCACGGGAAGATAGATAAAAAGTCTTAAGATATTCATGTGCCTTAAACTTGTAGGATGACCTCCAACTAAGGCAATACACTACAACTATACATACACCCCTCATTCCTCTTCTTACCAAATTTGTTATTTTCTCTCTCCTCTTCTTTACATTTCATACATTGCTTTCTGTGCTTACTTAACAGAAAGTTACATCAGAATTTTTCCAGCAGATATCAGTTCATAATCATCATATTTTTCTGCCAAAAATAAAATCTCTTTTTTTTTAACCAATCTTCTGTTTTTTGTACTTCCCATTTTGTCATGGAAACTTCCTCCATTCTTGGTTCTGCAGAATCATCTGACAGTGCTGCAGTCAACTACCGCGGTGGTGAACACTCCTTTCACCATTCTCCACCCGGAAATTATGATGATAAGCCGAGTAATCAGGGGAGTTTTTCCCTGACTTCCATTCTCCTGATTGTCATACCTATCTTCATACTTATCCTCCTTTCTTTCATCGTAGTCCTTATTATATTGCTTCGACGACAGAGGAGGTCGTCGAAGTGTAACAATTATAACAGCAACAGCAACAGCGACAACAGCTGCAAGTTTGCTGCTGATACTGCTATTAGTTTTACTGAAAGCAGTCCAGGTAACGACAATGTTTACTACTTTAGATTTTATTCTTTAGTGTTTCAAATTAAATTAATAATTTGTTAAAGATTTCATCAGTCAGACTGTCAGTTAAAATCTGATATGATATACTGGTTTATGATAACTGAGTAGAGGTGAAGAATGAGTGTATGTCAAACCCGAGCTCAAGGCGTACATCATCACAATTTAGACAAAAAGGTGTACAAGTATTCACATACAAGGAGCTGGAAATGGCAACAAACAACTTCAACGAGACGAATGTGATAGGGCACGGTGGTTACGGGGTGGTGTACAGAGGAATTCTAGGAGATGGGACTGTGACAGCAATTAAGATGGTGAACAGCAATGGCAAGCAAGAAGAGCGTGCTTTTAGAATAGAGGTAAGGTTGCCTTTCATATAATTCTTTTTTGGCCTTTCATTTCTTATTCGATTTTTAAGATATCTATTCATATGATGTTTCCTTTGTTCTTTTTTCTTTATCAATACAAACAGCAGGATAGAATGATAGATTAGCTGATGTCAGAATGTTCTAATTGTATCGATTCTTGTAGGGTTGACAACTCTCGTGAGAGAATTATAAAGAAAATTAATATCGAATCAATAAATTTGAGATAAAATTTTCTTATGAAAGTATAATCAAATTGTGTTATTGACCAATTAAAAAGTTATGAGTACTAATCAGCCTCCGAATAATAAAAGGATTATAAACATAGCATGTAGGACGGCTATAGATATTAGCGACAAAATCACTGATTGATTGGCGTTATTAAACATATATTACTTGTATTAGCCACTCAAGTTTCTTATTCATAATACTAGACAATATGTATAGCGTTTTCTTTTTTCACTAGCAAGAATCTAATGAAAACAACCTATATGGAATTAAAATTTAATGATAAGTACTTATCTTATTGCAAAGGGACTTAAGCTTTCCTTAAAGATATTTTTGTCCATTAAATAAAGTTTTAAACTTAGTTTAAAAGAGAGAGAGTTTCTTAGGGGTTTGACTTGAGCTCTATCATATTTTGTCATTTTCTTCTCAAGTTAAGTAAACCTCAGTAAAGAATAACTAGATTATGTGCCTATTTTGTATCCATATGAATTTGCATTTATGAAGCCTCATCAACTATTCACATGGTTTGAGAATTAATAAGATAACTTTTCTATGGGCAGGTGGACCTACTAAGCCGTTTACAATCCCTTTACCTAGTTGAGCTACTTGGCTATTGCGCGGATCAAAATCACAGGCTCCTAATCTTTGAATTTATGCCCAACGGCAGCCTACAGCAGCACCTACATTCACCTCACACCTACCCTCAGCCATTGGATTGGGGCACTCGACTACGTATCGCCCTTGATTGTGCCCGTGCCCTCGAGTTCCTTCATGAGCATGTAACACCTTCCATAATCCACAGGGACTTCAAATGCAGCAACATTCTATTGGACCATAACTTCAGGGCTAAGGTGTCTGATTTTGGTTTGGCTAAGACAGGTTCGAATAAGATCAACGGTCAGATTTCAACTCGCGTCTTAGGGACCACCGGATACCTGGCTCCAGAGTGGGTGCTTTTCTTTCCCCTCACCCCCACCCCACCCCCCCGCTGTATTCTCATGCATCACTATCTTAACCATATAACTGAAAACTACGAGTCTCTAATAATGCAATGTGGTCCTTACAGTATACATGTAAGGCTTAACATTATCCTGAATAGCATTTATGAAGCTTAAAGAATCATACTAAGGACAATATGCTAATCTTCACCTATGAAAAAGGAAGGAAATTAGAATGTTGTCTTAATTAGTAAGGACACACTAAATGCTAAACATTTATAATGACTAGTCCTATTTACTTGTCATATCATGTGATCTTCTGTTCTCGGTCACTTGGGAGTTTCGCACTCTAATTAATTTTAGTTGTATAGGTACGCTTCAACAGGGAAGCTCACTACAAAATCAGATGTTTACAGCTTCGGGGTTGTTCTTTTACAGCTCATTACAGGACGTGTACCTGTAGATACAAGGCGCCCATCAGGAGAGCATGTCCTTGTCGATTGGGTTAGTTTTTAGTAGTGACTAGGCCCTCGATTGATTTTTACAGAGCTGAAATGATTACTACTGAATAAAACTGATTTTTGCTGATTAAAACTGACCGGTTCTTTCAATTTCAGGCTCTTCCAAGACTAACTCACAGACAGAAGGTAATGGAAATGATTGATCCAAATTTAAAAGGGCAATACTCCCAAAAGGATATAATTCAGGTCAGAGAATCTGTTTCATTAGCTTTAAGTAATGATCATGCGACAGCAAAGCTAATCTAAATGATCCTACTTCATCTTTTTTTCTACAGATTGCAGCAATTGCTGCTGTTTGTGTACAAGTAGAGCCAGATTACAGACCTTTGATGACGGATGTTGTGCAGTCTTTAATCCCTTTGGTGAAAAATCTTTCATCTGTTCCTTCAAGTTCATCCAGATATCTCACTAATTTCGTCAGTCCAAGGTCTCAGAGGCCGTCTTTGTCATAGTAAATGACTTCTCTAGGAAAAAATTGGTTTACATTCTTTTGAATCTGATGGAGATTTCTGTACTTCGTATTTTCTCCTAAAAGCCAACGATCAAGATTAAAATTGGCATGCAAATACATGAACACGGCCAAAATGAGGATTATTGAAAAGATTCACGTTGCAGTGTATATTATGAAGAGGAGCACACAGTTCAAAGAGCAGCATGACCATGCATTTCAACATCAGGAATAATTCAAGATAACAGCAACAGACTCACGGTATAGCTTCCAATCCATGTACCTGGAAGTTAGACAGAGTCAAAAGAAAAACAAGTTGTGGAGTCTGATAATTTAATGCTGTACATGAATACTACAATGGTTTATCATTCTGTAAGCTTTTGCTTAAGTATAGAATAAGGAAAGTTCGAAGAAAAATATGTCCAGCTATTATAGACATAGTTGTTTGAGTTTACAGTTCTTAAAGCAATTTGATTTAGTTTGATATGCAAGAAGAGCAAACACTAATAGGTAAACAATCAAGTGTGTTCTCGTATCAGTTGTCTGTTATCATTTGATTGCAGTCAAATTCACATATATTAACAGGGGCTGTCTATTTTAGTAACGCGGACCTCTAATGCTAATAAAACAAAGAAATATCCTAACTTGTACGTTAAAAGCTTTTTATTCGTCCATCAAATAAGCACATGATTAAGTAATCAACTATGAGAAACAGGTAATGAGGAAAAAATACCGGGAACACAGGCTCGCAAGACACATATCAAGCTATCAATTATGAAAGTCACTATCAAACAAGGGGTGCATTACTAACACGTAAGTATTAACTAGTGGAAAAACTGATTCGTATTTGATTACTTGACCCAAACTTAAACTGTACCGTGATTACACATCTCGATTTGTGACTAATAATCACACCAAGATAAATGGCAATAGACACAAATATGACCCAACCGTGTAAACCAAAATCAACCTTGAAATGAAATCCAATAATTCAAAACCATTCCTAATTTACAAGTTTATGGGATGAAAAAAGGCAAGTAAGAAAATATTCCTTTCCTCCTTTTATTCATCAACTAACAGGAGAAATTTGTCTGTTATATCATATTGTAATTGTCAGATCTCAAACTAACCTATCATTTCACCAAAAGAATCTTGAATGAATACAAACCTTACAATGTTTTTAGTCCCTACATATAGACAACAAAGAAGTATAAATCAGTTCATTACTAAAACAGTAAATTTTAGCAGAAAATAGGCCTGGCAGTTAGCACGTACAAGGTTTCATGCCGGTCTAAATTCTATAACTTGTGCAATCAATCAGGCACATACAATTTTGTCTGAAGGAATCAAACAATGAACCACGGTTATTCGTCTCAGAAAACGATTTTAAGGAGAAACGAAGGAATTCAATGAACGCAAACAATTATAAAGTTAGCATACAGATAAATCAGAAGGAGAATTTTAATAACAAATTAAACTGTGAAAAATTCTATGTACTTAGCAAAAGTTACATCAGCAGTCAGATACAGTACCAAGTTCATGTTCAATAAAGGAAGTACAACTAGTAAATTCTGTGTCGAAATTGCAATTAACAGCTAAATTCTGGTGAATTTACCACCGAGTTTAAGGTAACTTGTGTAACACGACATTGTAACAATGCTTAACTGTTTGTCCATTGAAGACAAGCATCATATTACAGCAATGACAACCACTAGGTTTTCAATGGTTATATGGTGTTGCTTTGCTTCAAAAGTTTTCAAAAATTAATCATTGTCGAAATTTTTAATTACAAGATTGTTATACACTCATGAAAAACCTTAAGGTATTGGATGTAACATACTAACACATCTACCAAGGATCCATTTGAAGCAAAGTGAAACTGTGAAAAAAAAAAATATTCTATGCACAAAACCAAACATGAAAATGACAAAATGTCGGGAGACATTTCGCCATCAAAACAATATGCTGATCTGCTGAACACCACTGATTTGAATGAAAGTAACAAGTGAAGTGAGTGAAACCAAAAGAGAGGACAAGGTAAATATATGCTGAGGCTACAGGCAAAGATGTGATAACCTATATTGATATAGACCTCTATCAAATAGCTTGAAATAACCATATCGACTCATGAGTGAAAAAAATAATAATAATAATTCTCCATTTATATATTATAGGTCACATTCTAATTTGAATCTTCTCAAAATAGTTAACTTTACAAACCCTAACCAAGAAGGCATGAATGCCAAAGAAGGGCAACTTGTGATGACAAAGATATTAATTAACTTTGAAGAGTACAGGAATAACAGGACTTGTGAATTATTATGACAATTTTATTCAAAATCCTTTATGTTGACCCCGAACCTATTGAGGGTGATAATTTAGAGAGAGAGAGGGTATTACAATTCACATTCGAAAAACAGAAAAAATAAATCATACAATGCTACATTTATTATTGAGTCTTTCGGTATACTCCATAATTTATAGCCAAAAGCAATACAAACCCATGTTTAAATGTCACTGCCACTTTTGGGACCATGTCATGTGCTCTAAATGCATGCTGCAGCTTGTCATCTGCCAATTAGCAAAGGAAATTTCCTACTATTACATTCTAAGCCTACATTTACATTTGTAAAGATGCACTATTTCCTTAATAGACGTTTACATCAACTAACATATAATCTAAGCTAAAGCTACAACACAGATATAGTTACATGAGACTATTATATCAGTCCAGAAAAGAAATACCAGTAGATAAAACCGGAACACCAGATAGTTATGCTCTTAGGAGATAGAATTTTCTTTTTATATTACCACAAAACTTTCGGGGGGGTCTATGCCAAGACTCAATCACCAAGAGAGATTTCAAACGTAAAGATTCTTACTTCAAATTTCTGAATCAGCTTCCGATTCTTTTTGGATGTTTGAGCCTTCACCACTTTCTTTATCTGATGGAGTGCTTTTCTTTCCAAGTTTATCTGAATATTTTGCAAAGGCTGCAGACAAAGCTGATTTTAAGATCACTTCTGGGTCTTTTTTCTGACGCTTGCTAGTGTCTTCTGATTCCTTGTCAACAGCTGGTGGTTCGCTTTCTAAGGAGGTTGGAGTTGGATCATTTTGCAGAGGGGCTTCAGAGCGGTTTGGCACCACGCGTTTGAAAGGTTCGTGAAAGGTGTCATACAAACGTTTAACCTAATTGATCAATGAGATATGTTAGTCAATGGCGCCTTCAAAATTAAGACTTTGACACCATGTCAGAAAAGCACATAAGCGCACACACACACAGAGAAAGGAGAAAATGTATGCAGAGAAGAATTTTGATAAAGTTGCCGAGTGCAAACTATAGCTCTACTTTAGGAGAAACTTGAAAGAACTCAGATTAAATTTGAGAATTGGAGAATAAAGCCTGTTCTAATTCCACTGACGGCATGAAAATCATTTAATGTTACTATGGATCAAGATAATGAATATTATTGACAAGACTTGAAAGTACCTTACGCTCCCCAATACCAGGACAACGGGCTAGATCTTCCATAGAAGCATCTATGATATGAGAAAGAGACTATAAAGTGCAATAAAACCATTAGAAAATGCCTTCAAGAAAAACTTATCTATAACAAAATTGATCATCTTGCCTACCCCAAATGTGGAACCAAGTGTAACTACATCAGTTTTGTTAACATGTCGTACAGCAGTAAGGGCATGATTCAACTGCAACCAGAAAGAAGGTTCAGTAAAAATTTTGTACAAAAACATCTCAACACACTAATATATGCTTTCATAAGATACCATACTGTTTAAGGACAAACCATTAAGAGCCTTTTAACTCGGCTGCATTATATATATGGGTTAATGCACTACGGTAGTACTGATTTGTGAAGAGAACTATCCCATATGGAACATACCCTTGATAAATAATCAGAGTCCATATGTCCTTGAATGATATCAGCTGGCTTGTTCTCAAAGACTTTGATCGTTTCTAAATATCGACCACATTCTTCCAAGCTGATATACACAAAGAAAGGAAATGGCAGGAAAATTGTAAAGCAAAGTTAGTATAAGCCTGCATGTGGATCGAGATACATCAAATATAGTACTAAATTTTGCTTAACAGTTCATGCAAAGGTGCTGCTGAAGTGAAGATGTTGATTGAGTGAGATGAAAATTATTGGACATGTTGACGCACATTAGTAATGTAATAGTTACATAAAGGAAGGTAGCCACATTCTATCATCCCATGAAAAGAGATAGCTCCAAAACAACAAAAAGTCCGAATCTAGAAGAATTTTGGGGGAGTGGGGGAAAGTCAGGAGGCATTCACCAAAACATCAGTGTCATTGTATGAACATGAATACAGAGTATATCATTAGATTCCATGAACAATAGAAACTAACTCCCTTAAAGAACTTTGAGAGGATATATTTTAAGAAGTGCATCATTCTCACCTCCAAGCGCAGAGAAGAGTGCAGTCATGAAGCAGACAAGTTCTTGTGACTTCAAGTAAAGGCTTTACTACATCCTCCTGAAAAACATAATCGTAATATTGGACACAATTATTAAAGCAGTCATAATATATGTCAATGACACTGCCATATAATCTAGTAGCAGCTTACCACATCAACATGACATAGCACCACACGAAGTCTGAAGTTCTTCTGTAGTTCTCTTATGCGAAAATAAAGATAGTCTGGATGAAGCAGGTGATAGCGGAGACTGCACAATATTATATTCTAGGAATATCATTAATACAATTGAAGAAGATGATAGAAAACAACAAAAAAAAAAAATCCATGTGATAAACTAAAATAGAGTAAGTTGGCAAATTGTCACATAAATTCCATTCAGACCAGACATTGAATAAACAAGATATGCCTTCACAGCTTGGCATACATGAAGATTGACGGAACTCATGCCAATCTATTAATTTTATTATGTTGAGAAAACAGGAAATTCAGTATACCAGAGATAATATTAAGCATCTGCCGATATTTTAATGTGAAATATCAGCATTTTTTGTCCTGTGAGATATGTAGGTAACTTCAGTAAAAAAAACAGCGAAAGTATATGTTGAAGGGGTTACATTGAAAATAATTCACAAGTCATGACAATTACAATCCACTTAAAGACATTGTTTACATGAAACTCCTCCTATTCAAACACTACCTTGTAAAGTTGTAATCACCCAAGGCCCCAAGGGTATTTCTAAACGGAAGATTTGCATAAAAAAGTTTTAACCAACCTTAAATAAAGACAGCAAGAGTTTTGCCCCAGTACATAGTCAGGAATAACTTCTGCAAAATTCCACCTTACATTTCTGATGTGCTTGAGCAGAGGGTTTCCTTTCTGCAAAAGGAAATCGACACGTAAAGTTAGATTCTCAAAGTTCTGGAAGTCATTTATTCCATTTAAACCAACCAATCACTTCCTTCATCTCTTTGAAGACACGTCCTTGAAAAAGGAAATTGAATGACTAAAGATTGAGGCAAAAATAGCAACTGTTATGAACAAATTATCAAATGAAGCAAATTTGGCCAGCAGCTGGATGATGGTGACCAAAGCCTCCGAAGATTAAATTGACAGCAATAAGCTAGAAAACCACTAAATGATTATAAACTACAAAGCTTAAAAATATGTCAGTTGATAACACTTTAACACACCCCAGGTTTTCCCAGATCCCAAAAAAATAATAATGAAGAGCAAAAAGTAATTCCACTTACAGTCTGAGCAATAGATCTCCAGCAATAACTAATTAAGCATTAGCATTATCAGGAAGCAGTACACTTGAACAGGCCATGGACCAAGGAAAAAAACATTAATAAAAAAAAGGGAAAAAAAAGAATCAGATAAACTTCAGAAGCCCATTCCATCTAAAAATAAGGTGATGAATGACTAATGGCAAATATATTTTTATCCAAGAACACCATAGACCTACTATAGCAGCTTATAGGACATAAATGTGAATTGTACAGAAAACGAAGGTAGGGAAGGGTCGGTGAAGGGTAGAAATACAAAGAAGTGAAGCATCAATAAGGGGATTCAATACATTGGATCAATCCCTGGTCCTTCTTCAGCAATTTAAAGTCGCAGGTCAATTATCTACCATCCTTCTTTACTAACCACCAACTGAGTATCTATCACCAGAAGAATACTTGTTTAACCCTCTTATATATGCTCCCCTCCTTTCTTCGTTTCCCAACTACAATATAATGGTAGATAGAAGCTGAACCATTGTTCCTCATCAAAGATATCAGCTTGTGCTCTTGTTTATTCAATTTTACTACAAAGTTAAATCAAGAGGTTCACAAAGCATTGATACGAGAAAAATAAAAAAAAATAATCCTGTTCCCCAACAGAACCCCAAAAGAGAGCAAGAGGATGACATAGAGATGCTAATTTATTTATGAACCAAAGAGATTGATAAATTCCCTCCTCTTTACCCTCCCAACCAAAAATGTCAGAAATGCTACCATTCTTTATCCTACGTAAACTACTAAACTAGACATTTACTCTTCCTATCCTATCATACTATAACTAATAAGCACACTAAACTGCACTATGTACTGAGGCAACTGATCAGCTACCTCAGTTTTCTCTTTCATCATATGGTCAATTGTGCATCCACCAATCTCCTTCCTGCACCCTGAGCTGCTTCCACCTACTGATTTCTAAGAGATAAATAATCCCATCTCTTCACAATGACTGAAGTAATATAACAGATGCACGTTAGTAATAAGTTCTAATGTTCATGAAACTTCCTTTCCTTTCTTGAGTCAAAACTGAATAAAAAGACCCAAACATCATATAAGAATAACTTTAATTTCCACAATATCTGTATAGCTTTCCATATATTTTGGAATAGTATTTCTTCAATAGACAAAACCCGAGTTTAGTTTTTTCATCCAAAGCATCAAGCCTGACCTAGAAAGTAGAAACCTCAACATCATTAGCATTAGCATTAAGTTATAATGCTCATAAAACTACCATTCCTTTATTGAGCTAAAATGAATAATAAAGCCCAAGTACCATGTAAGAATAGATTTAATTTTAACTATATATGTATATATCTTTCCACATCTCTTTGGAATAACAATTCTTCTCATAAGGAAATCCCAAGGTTAGTTCTTTCATCCAAACTATTATTTCTAACTTGGAAACCATAACATCATTAGCATTTTGAAGAATCAGCAAACCCGCCGGCCCAAATAGACTGTCTTCACTCATCATAGCATTTCGACGAATCACACAAAGAACATCACTTTCCACAAATAACACTCTCCAGTTGTAATTTAGTACTGCACTACTGCTAAGATGTTCCTGATTCCCATCTATTTTGTTGGCACACTTTACCCACTACAAACTAAGCATATTATCAAACATCCATAATTCCTCAACATTTCACCTCAATTACATTCTTCTCCTTATCTAACACAACATTATTTAATACACAATAAACCAACAAAAATGCAACAATACAGCAATTTAATCCAGAAAAATTGAAAAGAAAAACAAGAGAAATACCTGCCTGTGGCTGACAATGATGGCATTACTCTTCTGAACAATATTATTATTCGAAACCCCAGTTTGCCTAATTAAAACAAACAAACAAATTAAACTCAATTAAAAAATAACCAAAAAAATAAAATTGAAACCCAGATCAAATTAACATACCCAGAAGAAGAGGGCAAAGCCGAAGCCGAAGCCGAAGAAGAAGCATTTGATGAGGAGAGAGATTGAGAATTAAAGGTAGAAGGAGGGGGAGCAGGAGGAGGAGTGTAGAATTCGGATTTTTTAATGGAAGCAAAAGCTTGAGTGAAGGATTGAGAAGGGGTGAAAAGAGAAGGTTGTGTTGATTTAAGTTGATTATTCTGAAGAACTTCTTGATATGATGGGATTTCTATTACTATGGAGCTTTTCTTCCTTTGATTTTGGGGTTCTTCTGGGTTTTCTTCCATTTTTGATTGATTTCTATTTTCTGGATTGTTTAGAGGGGTTTGGTAGGAAAATTGGGGGGAAGAGGGAAAGTGGCGGGGATTCAGGGGTGAATAAAATGTGTGTAAATTAGGGCAAATTTGGTAAGAATGGTACTTTTTTCATTCAAAAGTTTTTATACGTGCCTGGTCATACCGTGTGGCTGGAGTTACTTATTCTGTGATTACTCGGTTAGGGGTTACTTATTTAGGGTTATTCGGTCGGTTAGGGGTGACTCTCACACAAAAAAACGCGCTAACTGATTGAGTAAATTTAGAATAAGTTATCCCTTACCAACTGAGTAACCCCGGAATAGGTAATCCCGTGAAAACGCGCTAACCAACGGAATAACGAATAATTAACCCCTAAATAAGTAACCCCTATAAGTAACCCCGACCACACTGTGTAGCCAACCACGTTATAAAGGCACTGTTTTTCATTTCGAAATTATTGATGCACTTCTTTCCCTGGCTCGTTTCAAAAATATTGACAATTTTTATTTATTATTTTTTTTTTAAATAACTACTCCGTAATTTTTTTTCTAAGAAACCTAAATATCAGTTTTTCATATTGATAAAACATAATTGTATCTCAAAGGCACACTTGTAAAAAGCAACTTTTTAATTATTTTTTTGTACTTTTTCGCTTTCGTCCTCCTTCGCGGTTTACCTCTGTACTCCGTTAAAGTGGGTCAACTCCATGCTTGAATGCTTGACATTGCCTGGCAACTCGTCGTCCTCTATCTTCTTCAATCTCCTTTGCCTTTCCGGCGATTTGCCGCCGAATCAAATGAAAAACCCTGAGAAAATTGGAGAAATTAGGCCGGGTTTGTCTTCCTCCTCCATTGAAGATGTTCGTGCGTTTTAATTTCTCCATTGAAGGTTATAAATTTCCATTAATGGAGGAAGAAGATGAACAGATGGAGGAGAGGAAGCCAAATTAAGATCAATTACAATATTAATCCCATTTACATTATCAAATGACACAAAATGACACAGATACTTGTCTTGTTTATCAATATGAGAAACATAAATACCCAGTTTAAAGCATGATAAACTATTTAAATATTTATTTGTATGCAGAGTACTAACTTTGATCATCGTTTTTTTTTTAATGAATAAAATACTAAGTTAAATAGGTATTGACATAATGTTTAGGTATTGATATAATGTTTCATAGCATCAACTTTCATAATTTTTTTACTAATATATAATCATACATATTTAAGGTCAAACTAGTATATTGCACTGACATGTGTGTTAAGTATGATTGTGTCGATTATTCAAGAATAGAGGAAGTATACAAGTAACCCAATTTTCTTTTCTAGCATTGGGTGGTGTTTGGTAAATGACTTGATTGACTTCTAATCAAAAAATTTATTGGTTAAAATAAATTGTTTTTGGTCAACCAAACATAATACTTCGTAACTTAACAAGTGTTTAATAACTACTTTGTACTCTGTAGTTTTTTGGTTGCCTAAAAAGCTGATTTTCTTGGCAAAAATATACAGCTAAACTAAGTTTTTGAGGCTTACTTAAGCTCTTCATCCTCAAATTTACTTTCTATCCTTATCATGATCATTTTTCTCATATACTACGTATTTATTTTACCTCGTACTTCTAATAGGTCAATGTTGTTTTCTAATACTCCACCCGTCCCTTATTTACATGCCTACTTCTCATTTTATACGGGAATTAAGGAACTTAAAAGTCATGATTGGAAAGTACAAATATGCATGTGTGGTTAGAGAGAGATTGAGAGAAAGAAAAGATAGTTGGTAATTATTAAAGAGATGGAGAGAGAAAGTGTTGGAAAATAACGTCAAAAGTACAAAAAAAAAAAAAATTAATGACAACTCATCATAAAGAGGGAATATTGTCAAAAGTACATTCTTAAAATAGAAATAGACATGTAATTTTGAAACCCCCCCCAAAAAAAATAGGCATGTAAATAAGGGACGGAAGGAGTACATAGAGTGATTACTTCCTACATTATTACTTTTGTTTAATATGTCTTAATTTTTATAATTAATTTTTAAAAACTTAGAGTAAGTATCTTTTTGCCATGATCCCTCTACCACTCCATATAAGTAGGCCTTATGATTTATTTATTTTTTTTTATTATTTTTTTTTGCCAAATCACTTCTTTAATTAAACTTCTATATTGTATACAGTGTTCAAAAAAAAAAAAAAAAAAAATTAGTTACATCCAGCAATTGACAATCTACAGCTACTTACAGGCTTACAGCGCCCTTCAAGACCAATTTACCCCCCCCCCCCCCAAAAAAAAAAGAGAAAAAAAAAATCTCCATCCATACATACTTATAGTTTTCTACTTCATAAGTGATTAAGACTATATTAATTACAAATATCCTCTTTATAGTTTATTACTTCGTATATTATTACTCCGCATCCTCTCAAAAATAGATATTACTTCGTATTATGCATTCTTTCTAATGAAGTTTTTTTGTATATCATAACCCTTACATATATGAAAATGATCAATGAAATACATTTCAATGAGTTCATCAATCTGAGGACTTTCACAATCTCACACTAACAAATCAATAATACAGAATGTTTATTGAAGATTTGAAGTAATTTTGAAAGGTAACTTTGAACAAAGCCTTTATTATTCTGATTTCTTAGCAAAGTGAATCATCTTTTATCCCTTGTTCAAAGGCTGTTACTTTACTTTGGTGACTTATTTAAAATAAGTCAAGTTCAAAATAGATTTTTGAAAAAAGAGGTTTGTTGGTAATAATTTAGCAACAGCCACGACCGCCGAAAAAGTATAGAAAAATCCCTATCCTATTTAATTGCACAAGCAACAACGATATTTTACCTTATTATATACAAGTACTTCGTAATTATTAAATGTAAGTTTAATGAGTCACCTTAGGCAAATTAACAAAGAGTTCTGGAATACAAATCAAGGGAATTTTATTTCGCTGTTAGAGCTACAATTAGGAACAATTTAATTATTAATCAATTAATCAATTACTAATTATTTATCATCAAGAGTCAACCAAAGAGGAAAAGTATATTGTGTGATTCTATTATACATCAAAAGGATGGCTACGTGACATGACTTTCTTTTTATTTTAACTATTCTGTATCCATAATAATTTGATATTTTCACAATGTTTTGCATCCATATACAACTATTTACTTCCTTTATAAAGTACATATTATACTAACTATTCTGTATTTTGTATAAGTATTAATTTTGAACGTGCACATTTATCAATGTATATCTTTGGTTATTGATATCTCTAAATACATATTGACAAAATATATAATAATTTGATATTCATAAACATTGAAGCAAATTAATTGAATAATAATGCAAGACCCTACATGCCTACATTTTTTCTTAATCATCATACATAGTCAATAAGTTAGGCCCTATTTTTTTTGAGCTTCTGAGCGGAGCAAAGTAGATTTCAGCATACAGAGCAGAATAGAGCAAATTTCAGCAGAGTAGATTAGATTTGAGCAAAACAAAAAATATTTTAGCAGAGCAATTATTATTATTATTATTATTATTAGAGAAAATTCGCGCTGTACTCTTTTTCCCTTAGCCATGGTTTTGTCCGATAGGGCACATTGGGTTTTCCTAGTAAGATTTTTAATGAGGCAGCATCTTTAGCGTATAGTATTATGAAGAATGGTGTACTCTTTTTTCCTTCATTAATTTGGTTTTTATCCCACGTGGTTTTTCCTAGTAAGGTTTTAACGAGGCACAATCTTCAATAATGGACATCCAAAGGGGAGTGTTATGAAATATTGTATGTGTGGATGGCCATTATACTCCTAGTATCATTCCGAAATATTCTAGATGTAGGGTTTATTGTTATCCAAACAAACCCTAGTTATATTGTATGTATATATACCCCCATCATATGGAATAAAGATACACAGATCAATTCTCTCCCAATATCTTGTATTTTCTCACTACTTCACAACAAATTATCAATTATTAATTATTTATATTAATTATATTATCAATTTTTAATTAAAGTATTATTTATTAAGAAGAGCATAGTAGAGTAGAGCCGAGTAGGGGCTCACCATAGCAGGTTTTAGAATATAGCACAGTAGACAAAGTAGATAATGTTAGCACTCTTAGTAGAGTAGAGCATATTTCAGCAAAGCAGAAAGATACACAACTCAAAATAACAGGGACTTAGAAGGTTTTTGTTTTTAGAATGAGCCAAGGGAAACCTAATTTTGTTAGAATTTTCCTCCATGTTCCACTGTTCCAAGGCATCTGAGATCGATTCTCATCACTTGCCCTTAGAGGCGAATCTAGACATATAATCAAGTAGGGTCAAAATATATTTTCTTAAATTCTATTATGATCCAATGATCAAATTTTAATAGAAAATATGAGAAATTCCCAAATTTTACTATTGAAATTAAATTTTGCAAATTCAAGTGGGGTCAAGGGACTCCACTGAAAGCAATGTGGCTCCGCCACTGCTTGCCCTTGTAGCTAGCTCTCTAAACACCAAACAAAAAAAAGTTAAAATTTTCATCTCTATTTATAATTAAATATATGAAAAAACTTATTAACGCAATTGAAGCAACTTTAAGAAATTAGTTCTACCATACATCTAAAGTGATTAGACACCATAATAATTTCACTTAACTTACTAATAATTTCAGCTCATTTCAAATATCAATCCAAAAATAACCTTCATATTATTCTATTGCAAAAAATGAAGATGAAGAACCTTACTAGACTAGGAAGCTTTCCTCTTAAAGAACCATAGTCGGCATAGAATAAAATTTTTAACAAGCTTCAAAGCAATCAGGTTATTAGTGTTTCTATATTTGAATTCTACTTTGGAGCATGTGTTTCACATATTTCCACTTGAAAGACTTGATAAGATTGTAAAAAGAATGCACTTTGACACCTTCGTGACATTTTTCAATCAATAACATAATACTAAAACAGACATCAGGAATGACACGTGTCACTTTCCGGTGTTGTTTTTCCCTTCAAAATCGTGTTCTCCCTTTTTTTTTATTTTTATTTAATTTTAATTTTATTTTATTTTATTTTACTTTTTTGACTGACGACATCAACTACTTAATGTAAAGTATGTATACTTTTAATATATTCACTAAATCATATAATTGTGATTCACTTTCCTAAAAAATATATATTTGTGATTCACATTTTTTTCACATCTTTTATTGTATAAAATAGTATTTTATATCTATATTATTTCTTCTATAACGTAATACTAAAACAGATACTAGAAATGACATGTGTCATTTCCTGATACTGCTTTTTTCCTCTAATTTTTTTTACGATGTCATCAACTACTAATTATAAAATATATTAAAAATAATCACCA